GTTAGCTCATGTAGTTCCCGAGATCGCCTTCCCGCCAAAAAATTTGCATATTTTTTTAAAACGTCCGTATGCGGCACCCAGGCGTCCACGGGCATGAAATTAAAACGAGAGAGTCGCGCATGGTATAAGCACATCTTCCCAAAGTTTCAGCCTTCTAGCTTTTCTTGTTCTCGAGTTGAAAGTGGGTGACAAAAAGTGCGAACATAGAGAAACGCACACACACGAACACACACACAGACAGACAGACAGCCTCTTCCCAATATGCGTTTTTGCAATTTACATATATGCAAAAACACATAAAAAGTATTATCTTTAGTGTATACTGCGCCAGGAAAGCCAACGATTCTGTCGTTCGTTTGGGCTGTTAAAGTCTAAAATTTATTGCTTTAACAGGAACACGCAAATTTAGAAAACGGTGCCAAAATCAACTTCCTTTGCGTTATCAAAAAAATAGAAGCGTTGACTTTGCGTCAAATTATGATACGCAAACGTTGGCGATGTGAGGATTGCCAGCGTAAAATTGCTGCATTTCGCTTACTGTTTACTAGCAGTATGCTTACCGTTATTGACCTCTATGCGGAGGATTTAGTGGTACTTTTTGGCATGGCATCGATTAACTGTTGTGGAAATTTTAAATAACACAAACAGTGAATGGAGATTGGAAGAGAATAGGAGTCTGAAATCCTCAGTTTGTTAACATATGCAGTTTGTTTGGCGTTATTGGCCCACGATGGAGAGGAACACAATCGAATTTTGACAGTTAATGAAAACACTGAAAGTGCCATTTAAATCTCCCAAATAAGCAAGCCTATATGTGTAGTGACTTGATAGTCTGCCATTTAGAGATTTCTAAGTAGTTTACTACTCTCAGCATATTTTCACCTCAAATTGTGGCATTTGTTAAGTGAAGGACCATTAACAGATACAATGAGGCTCACAAGATTGATGAGAAAAATTCAATACATTTTTCTCCGAATAGTGAAGAAAGCGAGCAGACGATCGCCAAGGCCACCAGGGTAACAGCAGTCGCACTTACCCTAGAAAAATTAGCCGCAGCGATATGGTAAACTTGGTTGTAATGTTATCAGCACTCCTCGAAGTATCTGTGGTAAAGTATCTTGTACAACAGTTTAATTTTTGTTTGTCATTCATCCAGGGGCTTATCAGAAAAGTTGCTTTGCCGGTTTTTATGCGTTTTATGCTATGTAACAGCATTACAAAACGCATATTGTCACGGGGTTGTCTGCGTGTGTGTGTGTCTCCCACATTTTGTCCCGCACATTCAACTCGGGAACCACAAAAGCTGGGCGGCTGAAATTTTGGTATAGTATTCCCCGCTAGCGGGTGACGCGGCAAATTTAGATTCAGCCTTCCCGTATCCGTGAATAACACGTACGACCTTGTGAAAGTTTTTTATGGGTAAATATCTCGGGAACTACGGAGTACAGGAGGCTGAAATTGTAGCGTAATGACCGTTGCCCACGCTCAACCTTGCCCATTTAAATTCAACCTTCCCGTACCCGCGGGTAACACGTACGGCCCCGTGAAAGTTCTTTACGGGTAAATTATCTCGGGGACCACGGAATCTGGGAGACTGAAATTTTAGGGTAATGACCCCCTACCCACGCTC